TAACATTAACATTAACATTAAATGCTCTCAAAACCAGATAGATAGATGTTAGTTACTTAGTTTGATACATGGTATGGTTTATGCCTTTGGGCACTTGATTTCAAGTGTTGTGGTTGTTCTGTGGCGGATGGCATTGGGACATACCTCCAGGCAAGGCTCCTTCAAACTGCTATCCTCTTCCGGAGGGGAAACTCCAAATTTAAACTGCATGTCCTCAAATAATAATTGTCTGACATTAATTCATTCATGTGCAATATTATATAGTAAATCTAATGAATCCGTTATCCACATAATCACTGAGTGTTGTTGTTGTTTACATTTACCTGACAGCTAAAGTCATTAAAGTTTGGCTCCATAACTAGAGGCACTCCCATGTGATCCATAAAGAAGGCCTGTCACATTGCATTGTATGCAAACAACCAAATCACTTCTATTCTAAAATCTAAAATAAAAGAAACTCAAAGCACCTTATACCTGAGTAGGAAGTTTACATGTATTCACACATATCCCCACACATTTGCTTTCCTCTAGATACTTGCATCTTTCAACAAACACCTACACTCATGTCTCATGTCATGTCATGGCTCATGTACATGTAGGCATCATCAACATTCAACACTCAAATGACATGACATGTAAAAACCACACACACATAAAATTGGAAGTTGAAAAACTAGAAATTATAGTTACTCACCCCACTCTGCAATGAAGATCCATCGCCAAGATCCACAGTGTTAACCCTGCAACTACCCATCAGCCATTCACAAGATACTGCAGTCACCCTTGCTTCCTTCCAGAAAAACACACTCAAGGATCATTACATACATACATACCACAGTCCACACTTGATGATTGCAAATTCAGCGCAATATATATATATATATATATATATATATATATATATATATATATATATATATATATATATATATATATATAAAATTAAATTAAGGACTTTCTATCTTAATTGTTTACATGCCAAAATCACAGCCAGACCTTCAAGCGCTAGCTACTGGAGCACTTCCACTTTATGGATGGTACTGGTATGAATGAATACTGAATACTGATTGATGGATTAATTAAGTACCAAACCAACTTTCGAAATGAAATGATTTCTAGTTCCCTATCAAACAAGATCTAATTAAGCCTCTTTTTTTTACACATTGTCATATCATCAACTGATCCATATATGTATATACTACTTCACAAGATAAACATACCATATATATATATATATATATATATATATATATATATATATATATATATATATATATATATATATATATATATATATATATATATATATGGGAAAGGAATATACATTACAGCCCCACCTAAGCTTAGGTACTAAACCTTTTGAAAATACATTGTTTTATTATATAAGATTACGGTTAATGGATTCACGATTAATACTTCAAGATGTAAATTCAAGATCGACACAATAGGGTTTAGGGTTTAGGGTTTAGGGTTTAGGGTTTAGGTTTAGGGTTTAGGGTTTAGGGTTTAAATTTAGGGTTTAGGGTTTAGTAATGTTCACTTGGTGAAGTAATAAACGATAATTGAGGAAAGAAAACAGAGATGATAAAACGATAATGAAAGAAAGAAATGTTATGGAGGATGATATATTTACCAAGTGATACCAAACCGGGTATATTTAGCATGTTAAAACGACATATTTTAGAGGTTTAGTACCTAAGCTTAGGTGGGGCTGTAATGTATATTCCCTATCCCCTATATATATATATATATATATATATATATATATATATATATATATATTATATATATATATATATATATATATATATATATATATAGGTTCAGGTTCATTTGAGACCATGCTAATTTTGTGAGACCGTGAGACCAAATCTAAAAATAATTTTAAAATGCAAAATAAAAGGAAAAATCCAAAAATTCTTTTTTTAATTATTATTTCGGAACTTTATTTACCTTAAAAAAAATAAAAAAAAATAAAAAAAAAATAAAAAAATTACCGTTTTTTTTTGAAAAATACGTGAAATATTTTAATAGAATATTACACTGTACATATTATAATATGATTTTTAGAATGTTTAGAATATTCTACTAGATTTGTCAGATATGTAGAATATTCTAAATATTCTAAAAAAATATGTAAAAAATGTATTTTTTTTGTATTTATTTTTTATTTTTTTTGGTATTTTTTTATTTTTTTTTTTTGGAAAATGTATATTCCGAAAATAATATTGGAAAAAAAAATTTCGAAAATTTTCAATTATTTTGCATTTTAAAAATGTTTTTGTTTTATCTAATAAATGAGTGAGTAGGATTGCGTCTCACGGTCTCACAAAATTAGGCCGTCTCACATGAACCTAACCCTATATATATAATAATGTGATTTCACTGGAAAACAAACAAAAACAAAAACAAAAACAATTTTTTTTAATAATAATGAAAAAAGCTGACTCACCAACCATTACAGCAGCCACTTTTCCTTGAGCAAGAGGCGCAATGAGGATTTTGTAGAGCTCTAACAACAACGGAGGAAACAACGATCTTAATATGCGAACCTGAGACGACACTGGTTACTGGTTACTTTGGTAGAATTATATTATATTATATTAATATTAATTATAATTATTATAGGGAGGATTTCGTATACGCCCTTGTTAAACGTCAAAATATCATATTTACCCAACTTAAAATCTAAATATCATATTTGCCCAAAATATATAGTTTTAATATTTTATAATCATTTTTTCTGTTTTGGAATCATTAAAATTAAAAGAAAAAGTAAATGGACGATATTGCCCTTGCTTTCTCAAGTGCAGGAACAAAATTAACCTTATGCCCTTACCTGCTGGGATGAACTCTTAACCTCTATGCTGCTTCTTTTTTTTAGCCTTCTCAATCAGCCATTACTTCTTTGTGTTGTATTAAACATTATTTGTGAAGTAAAGATTCTTTGATTAGGCCGGACGATATGGAGTGCGGGGAGAGGTGCGGGACATTTCCCGCACAGGGGGAACACCGCACCGTGGGTGCGGGAAGGCTAGCGCGGGAAGAGGGTGGGGGGCGGGGATCCCGCGTTCTCTCTCTTCATGCAATTGGACAACTTTTTTTTTTCTTTTTTTTTTTTTATCTTTTTTAATATTTATAAAATTATATACCTATTAAAAAAATATAAAAAATATATCAAAATTCATGGTTTTTAATTCTCTACAAAATGAGTATAATATATGTATGAAATATATTTTAAAAAAAAATAAAAAAATAGTGAGGGGAGCTTCCCACCCATTCCCTGGGTTTTGGGTGAGGGAAAGGGTGGTGTGGCCCACAAAAAGTGAGGGAAACATCCCTCCCATACCCTCCGGTCTTAGGGGAAGGATGTGTTGGGCAATTTTACTAGGGGATGAATCCTTCACCTGGTGGTGGGGTAGTGTAGTTTTGTCTTGGGTTTGATAAGATTGTGCCATCTAGAATCACTACACCAACATCGCTCTTGTTGACTGATCCTTCAAATCCCATTCTTATCATTCTTATCATCTCCTAAAAATACCCCTCAATTCACAATTATGTTTGAAATAACAAGTTATAATCAAAACAGAAAAAAGTTCTCTAATGTAATTTGTGTGTATAGATATTTCATATTTGTGTTGCTCTCTCAGGAAATGTGTCAAACATTTAGTGTTAATAAAACATAAGATCACTTCATCTACGTCGCCAACCAAGATTCATCAGAATCCTAAGAAGCAAATAACTTATCAACTTAGCATAGCATAAGGACAAGGTCAATTTAGTTCCTGCAGTTGAGAAGGTAATGGCAATATGGTCAATTAAATTTTAATGATTTCAAAACAGAAAAACTCAGTGTAAAATATTAAAAAAATAAATATGATATTTTAAATGATTAAGAAGGATAAATATGATATTTAAATTATTTTCCCCTTGTTATATCATCAATCAGATGCACGCACCGCTGCTTCCTGAGTTTGAGAGTTGGTTCTGGCAAGCATAAGACGATTGGCTACGTCTATTAGTCCATCGTAGCCCGCCTTCTCCGAATCCCATCCAACTTCCTGTTAAATTAAATCATAATTCCTGGCTGCTCCTAGACCTAATTACTGATTTTTTTTATTTTTTTTTACCTGCACCATCTTGTTGCGGAACAAATTCAGAAAAACATGATCCAATACGCCGGGACTTCTGGATACTACTAGTGCCTCTGTTGTCTTTTGTATCTGCCCAGCCCAACAACACACTAAATCTACTCAGTGTACGTATAGTGAAATTAAACAAATCCATAAAAACCCAAATACAATCAGAATCACACGTACTCCTGATTCACCAGCAGATACACGGAATAACCCATGATTGGCGCTTCTCCGGAATTGTGGCTTTCGCTTAAGCTCCCGCAGCGAATTCTCACAAATAGAATGGAACTGGAACTCAAGAAGAGTAGCCATAAGAGAAACTCTGTCTGGATATATGTTGCAAACTTCACTACCTCTAATCTCTATTGTAAATGTTTCTCAACCACCGATTTGTCGGTGCAATAACCAATAAGTATTTTTTATTCTATTTTTTCACACACATTATAAATACTATTGACGATGGAAATCTCAGTCCTTAAAACTCCACGTTCTTTCAATCTCGTCCGCATAAACTCCAATTTAGCGGTTTCTTGCGGTTCATCTTCCTGCTTCTCCGCACGATTCCGTCTGTACCCACGTTGTAGAGAATTGGCTGTTGTTTCCTCAAGAAGCAGTTGATTTGGAAACTCTCAAGAAGCAGTTGATTTGGAAACTGCATTCAAGTGTAGCACGCATCCGACTTTTGCCGTTAACGGAAAATTGGTTTTAATCGATAACTGCACCACACGATTCCATGGTTGCTAGAAATCAGGTGGCTCTCATTAACCGTCTTGCCTATATAAAGAGTTGAATTTGAAGGTAATTGCTTCAATGAGAGTTGTCGATTGACTATTGTTGGAATAAATAGTTGCTTCTGTTGCTCCAATGTCTTCCGAATCGTCTGAGATACCTTCAATTAAGGCGAAAATTCATTTGTTTATTCGATTTCCATTGTTTGTATGTCATTGCATTTTTTTGTTTCAATTGGTAAACTAATTGATTCGTTTGATGTCATGTTTTTGCCAATTCGTGTAATCTTTCTTCGCGTAAGGTTAGCTTATTATCTCGATTCATTTGATATTTAGTCCATTGTATAATCAAGTTCGATATAATCGAAAGTAATGTCCATTAATGTTTCAAGTTTCGATTTCATATGTATTAATAAATTTTTTACCTATACTTTTTATGTAGAACATTGTAGTTGTTGCTGAAAAAGTGAACTTACCGAAAGATGTATCAAAATCGACAGTTGATCTTAATGATTCCAATTCCTCTGACATACCTTCAGCTGAGGTAAACATTCAATTGTTTAATTGATTTCTGTTGTTTGTATTTCATTGGAATTGTTTGTTTAAATTGGTAAAAGTAATTGATTCCATACATTTATGTTTTGCAATTCGTTGGTTGTTTTCCCAGATAAGGTAAGCTTTTTTTACTCTGTAATCTGTTATTTCTTCACACAAGGTAAACTTAATGTGTTTGTAATAGATTGATTTTATTTGTTATTCATTGTATATTAAATTTTGTTGAACTTAAATTTCATTTATTTCTCACATTTGGATTTCATATGTATTAGCAATTGTGATCTTTGTGATTGTTTTGTAGAAATTTGGAGAATTTGATTGAAAAGTCAATCTACATTCAGATGTATCAAAATCTTCATTTATTTCTCAAATTTGAATTTAATATGTATTAGCACTTGTGTTCTATGTAATTGTTTTGTAGAAATTTGGAGATTTTGATGGAAAAGTCAATCCACATTCAGATGTATTAAAATCGAAATGTCACTCTGACTCTGATAGTGTTGAAATAATCAACTTTAGTGTTCACTTCAGTCCCTACAAATCCCAGTTGGAGAGGGTAATTTCGGAAGAGGTAAAGATTTTATTATTTGTTTTTTAGATATATATGCATATAAGTTTGTTTTTCTATTTCAGGTATCTTTAATTGCCAAAGAAGAGGAGAAGTTGTCAAAAAAAGAAAAAAGGAAGTTGGCTTTGTTATGTTGGAAGTGGGAAGAAGTTGTAGATCTATATGAAGATGAAGAATTGGGTGTAGATCTACCATTCATACCAGTGAAAAAGAAAGTGAAAGTTTCCATTCAATCAAGAAATCGAGTCATGAAACTTTATGATGAATCAGATGTTGATGAGTGATTTAGATTAAGTTTGTGAACTTTTTTTTTTTGAGAATTGTTCTTTTGGATTTGCTGCAGTTAGTGGTTAGTTGTTTTTTTGGATTAATGTTACTAAGTTTTTTAGTTGTAGTTAATTGTTTTTAGTGTTATTTCACTTTTATTGCTTTCAATTAAAGTAACCGAACATCCTTATCAAATATTTTCAGCATATTTTATTTCGTTTAGTACTGTTTACCCCTCATGCATCATTTATGGTTTTGGACCATTTTACCTTTTCTACCCCAAATTGTATTGTAATTGTCAAGGATAGTTTTGGTTTGCAAACAATAAAGACAGTCAATTATGCAGATAATAGATTTTAATTGCTAATAGAGTTTATTTTAACTGCTAATAAAGAAAGTCAATTAATGATTTTTAACCGTTTTACCCATGCTTCCTTTATCAGTGTTTTATGTTATAGGTAGTTTTGAGTTTTTGTTGTAAAAACCACAAAAAATAAAAAAAGTAATTATGTTATATTTTCTTAATTAAGCGTTATACTTTAAATTATAACATCATACTTTACATTTTAAGGTAGTTTTGAGTTTTTGTTGTAAAAACCACAAATAATAAAAAAAGTAATTATGTTATATTTTCTTAATTAAGCATTATACTTTAAATTATAGCATCATACTTTACATTTTAATTCTTATTTACAATTAAAAGGTATGTTTTTTTGTTATTGTAATGTATTCGTTATTCGTTGTAAGTATTTTGGACGATTTTACCCATCCCCCATCTTTTCTGAATTTGGACCGTTTTACCCCTCCCCCATTTGTATTGAAATGATTATGGGTTGTCAAATAAAATATGAATAAGAAAAATAGCATTATTTTTTTAAAAAAATGATGTTATATTTGAAAGTACGTTGCTTAAATAGTTACATCTTTAACTTTATTTACAATACATTTGTCGGAGATGTACAATTGTTTTATATATCTAGAAAAAATCTTAAATCTGAAAAAAAAAAAAAAATTAAAACTGAGGTTTGTGTCTTCCACTTACAACTTTAATGCAACAAGCTCTTTGGCTAAAGCTATATTCCTCTCCTGCAATTTAAGAAAATCTAGATATGATTTATTAACTTTCTATTGCATGCTTAAATGTGAGAGACACACCCTCCTTACATAATGGTTATATGCAAGAAATAACAATGTTCTGTAATTGATTTGTTTATCATAGCATCCCACTTTCATTCTTTATATTAAATATTTTTACTTTGAAAATCTACCAATCATAGCAATATGATTCAAATAGAAATGAATTTTCATTAACAGATTTCTGATCGGTTTTAATGATATTGGACCATTTTACCCCTCCTGCATTGTTAATGATTATTAACCGTTTTACCCCTGCTTGCATTATGAGTCTTTATGTTACAGGTAGTTTTGAGTTTTTGTTGTGAAAAACACAAATAATATAAAAAGTAATTATGTTATCTTTTCTTAATTAACCATTATACTGTAAATTATAACATCATACTTTACATTCTAATTCTTATTTACAATAAAAAGGTATGTTTTATTTGTTATTGTAACATATTCGTTATTCGTTTTAATGATTTTGGACGATTTTACCCCTCCTGCATCTTTTTTTGATTTTGGACCGTTTTACCCCTCCCCGATATGTAACTTCTCTTTGGTTTTTTCAAGCAGTTTAACCTAATTTATACCTACTAAATTCAGTTAAGTAGTTTCAGAGTATTAAAAATATAAGAAATTTTATGAGGGAAATTTAAATTATGCGTTTTTGCTTTTTTCTTTTGTTTTTTATCTATTATTTGTTTATTTAAATGTTATTTATATGAATATAAAAAATAGAGGGCAATAATGGGATTTGCACGGTTTACATGATTTGAGTTTACGAAAACTTCGGAGTAAAGTTGAGGGGTAGTGTATGTAACCGTTTCTTCTTTAACCTGTTACATCGGATTTGCTCTGCACGTTTATTCTATAACTTGCGATCAAATGAATTATGTGCATTGTAGTATATCGAAACATTCTTTGTGTCCATAACTTCCTTCATTCTGCTTCAATTAGTCGGGCAGTCTGAAATTGGAATACATAAAAGGTGATACAACGTATTAACTTCAAATTACCTATTACTGAAACAATATAACAACTTTCTTTGATACAATCAAGAATGGATGATGTTGAAGGTTATGAAATCAATCGTCAAACACAACTCCATACGAAGGTATCTTTTTCAATTATGTTTATGTCAATATGAAAATTGCATAAATTTTGAATCTTATTTTTGTTAATTTGTTGCCTGTTGTGCTATTTGGTTCGTTTTTTATCATATGTGAATGTGAATATTATGTGACAATACTTTCTTATTGGTTATAGACTCATTTTACGTACATTACCGTTTAAGTTTGATGTTTGTTACTTTTTGTTAAATCTAACAACCCTACTGTTAAGTTCTCGACATTGGTAATTATTAAATAAATCTATAAATGGTGTGGGGTGAAATGGGAGGGGTGTGGGCATAATGGTCATTCTACTTTCAATATACTACCATTGTATTTATATAATGGTTATTTTTATACTTTCATCTACCTTTTTAATCATTCATATGTTATATGCAATTTAAATATTTATTTTTAGTTTATGTTTGTTCATTATATGATTATTTTAATTGTTTTACAGCAGACATTATTGGACACTGACGTGTTTATTGAAATTCTTTCAAGAACATCATTAAAGACATTTCATATCATACGTTGTACAAGTAAACATCTTGAAAAACTAACGTACAACAGCCATGTTCTTGATCTTTTCAAGGGGAAAAAGAATGTGCTTCATGGAGTTATTGTTCAACAAAAGAAAGTTTGGGGATCGATAGAACGTAAGTTTGTTTCGTCTTGTAGTTCGATTAACTTTGACATTGGTTGTATACCAAATTCGTGTACAATCTTAGCAGCTTCATTGAACGGACTCATTTTTGGTGAATGTGATTGTCCGGATGAATATCCGGAAAAGTTTTTATTTATTTGTAAACCGACGACATTAGATTGCAAAACATTACCATTTCCGATATATAAGTACATTGTGGTCAAGTTTGCTATGGTGGTTATGCGTTCGAACCCGTTGCATTTCAAGATAATTCGTTTATCATATGCAGAGTCAGAGTAAGTCTTTTTTACAATTATTATTTAAGTCTTTTTTTTTATTTTGGTTGTATAACTTTTATGTTTCTTTCGTTGTAGTGACGTGACAAACGATCATGACTATGAAAACTTTCGACTAGAATTATTTCAGTCCACTACATGGGAATGGAGGGACCTTGGTAATATTCAGTTACCATATTCTGTTCATCCGGTATCGGACGAAGCAATCATAAGTAAAGGTGTAGTTTGCATCTTATTGTCAAACTATCAAATTTTGCAGTTTGGTGCATATTCTGAAGAATATGTAATCATATTCTCACCTTCTACAAATATAAATTACATGTCGTATACATCGAGGCTAATAAAATTTGAAGGAAAGTTGGGATTTTTTTGTCTGAATGGAGATCGTATGTGGGGTATTTGGGTTCTCATTCGTAATCAGTGGGTTGAAGTTGATGTTATTAGCATCAATGCAGATGCACATGAATGGTGGGATTATCGAAACAATGAACTTTCTTTTTTTACAGGAAAAAGAATTGAGTGTGTTGTTCCGGTTCATCGTTGTCATGAAGTCTTTTCATTTTGTTCGGATTATGAGACGATAACTATGCCAAGAAGATTTATTTGATTGTATTTATTTGACATTGAATTGATTAACCGTTGTTTGTTTGTTGGGTTTTATATTTTAAATATTTGGTTTTCATTTTATACTTTGTTTTCATTGTAATTTATAATTTCAATCATCAAATTATGTTGTTTTATGTTATATGATCTGAAATTATTTGTTTATATATGTGTTGAAGAAGGGAAACCAGTTATTTCCATTTTTAGGTTGTAATGACTAATTTTGTTTGAATATATCTTTCAATTGCGGTTTAATTGTAGTCACAACATAACCTATATTTATGTATGTTATTATTGACAACTTGGGGACTACATTTATGAAGTAAAAAAATTTGTCTTTAATGTTAATGTTTGTTTTACATGCAAGAAGTAACAAGCTACTTTAAAGTTAAATTTATTTTTACTTAGGTATTTTACTTTGCAAATTATTGTTTCATTTATATGTTTAATATACCATAAATTTTATTCTAATTTATGAGTTACTACACTTTAGCTAATTTTCCCAATCATTAATTTTGCTTTCAAATTTGTACATGACCTAATGAGGGTCAACCCTAACCCATATGAATTAAAAAATTAATTTTATATATTTATTATAAATTTATATATAAATTTATTTTTTTGTATGATAATAAAAAAACAAAGCTACTATGGATATTACATTTAATTAATATTATAGATATTGATGTAAATACTATATTAATTTATAATACAAAATGGGTAATCATTGTCGTAGCCGTCGTTCAAAATCCACGTCCCCTGTAGCCTGCAATTAATCGGAGAAGTGATGGCCTCAGTCGACGTCCCTTCACCTCCGAACTATGATCCTTTTAAACCCTTCCCTTATGTCAATTTCGTCATTCTCACATATTCATTACGTTACGATAACTTCGATTTCTTGCTCTTCCTCTTTGAAAAAAACTTCCACGATCAATTTAACCGACGATGAATGCTGATCCGTGGTCACGTCCGAACTTCCAACTATGGAGTGTAAGCGCCGAACCACCAAGAATCAAACCGGTTGTAGAATACGGGAAGGCAAACGAGAAGAGATTCACCATTCGCGTTGTTCATGGTGGGTTCTTTACAGACTACCCAGGTAAGGCGTATCAACAGACAAAGGTTCACTTTATTTCTCATGTCAACATCGATTTAATGAACATTGAGATGCTTGGTCGTTTTTCTAAAAGCCTTGGGTATACAAGTTTGGGGAACTGGTATTATATGCCAACCGAAGAAAACAGTGGGTTGTCAATGATTGCAATTCTAAATGATGAATGTTTGGGACCCTTCAAGACGATAGTTAGGGCACACAAATTCAGAGAGATTGAACATCTCTATGTTGAACACAGGACTGTGTTTGTTCCAATCAATTTCCCACACGTTTTGATGAACTCACCATCCAAACGTGTTGAGAAGCTTATTCACATGTTTGTCACAGAACATCCAATGGCAACGGTTGATGATGGAATAACATACATCAACCATATGCTAAACATCACCATTCCAAGACAAAAAATGGAGGATGCTATGGACATGGCCAAAGAGAATGTCATAGCATGGAAAAACATATTGTAGGTGAACTATGTTGTACGCCTTTTTGTGTTTAATACAGAGTAAACATGATACTCTTTTTTTTGTAATTAGTATGAAACTCTTTTATGTTATGTAATGTTATATATTATGTATATATGTGATGTTGTTTTGATTATATATTATGTCTATATTTAATGAGTTGTATGTTTTTTTTTTTAATTGTAGGGAAATTATAGATGATTTTGTTGTTTATGACCAATTCCATTTGGAGATATTTCATTCTGTTACATTTGCATGCATGGATATTGGTAATATACTATTACCATGTTCTGTATGTCATGTTTCTAATGAAGCAATCGTATGTGGAGCTGTGGTTTACATTTTATTATCAAATGGTGACATTTTGTGGATTGATGCATATTTGGAAGAATTTTTAAAAATTTCTCCACCATACTGTAAATTATAGCATCATACTTTACATTGTAATTCTTATTTACAATAAAAAGGTATGTTTTTTTGTTATTGTAACATATTCGTTATTCGTTATAATGATTTTGGACGGTTTTACCCCTCCTGCATCTTTTCTGAAATTGAACCGTTTTACCCCTCCCCCATTTTTATTGAAATGATTAAGGGTTGTCAAATAAAACATGAATAAAAAAAATATCATAACCTTTTTTTAAAAATGATGCTATATTTGAAAGTATGTTGCTTAAATACTTAAATCTTTTAACTTTATTTACAATACATTTGTTGGAGATGTACAATTGTTTTATACTGTAAATTATAACATCATATTTTACATTGTAATTCTTATTTACAATAAAAAGGTATGTTTTTTTGTTATTGTAACATATTCGTTATTCGTTATAATGATTTTGGACGGTTTTACCCCTCCTGCATCTTTTCTGAAATTGGACCGTTTTACCCCTCCCCCATTTGTATTGAAATGATTAAGGGTTGTCAAATAAAACATGAATAAAAAAAATAGCATAACTTTTTTTTAAAAAATGATGCTATATTTGAAAGTATGTTGCTTAAATACTTAAATCTTTTAACTTTATTTACAATACATTTGTTGGAGATGTACAATTGTTTTATATTGTAAATTATAGCATCATACTTTACATTGTAATTCTTATTTACAATAAAAGGTAAGTTTTTTTGTTATTGTAACATATTCGTTATTCGTTATAATGATTTTGGACGGTTTTACCCCTCCTGCATCTTTTCTGAAATTGGACCGTTTTACCCCTCCCCCATTTGTATTGAAATGATTAAGGGTTGTCATAGCATAATGGTTATATGCAAGAAATAACAATGTTCTTTCATTGCTTTGTTTATCATAGCATCCCACTTTCATTCTTCCTATTAAATCTTTTTACTTTGAAAATCTACCAATCATAGAATGTCATTCAAATAGAAATGAATTTTCATTAACAGATTGATAATTGGTTTTAATGATATTGGACCATTTTTCCCCTCCTGCATTGTTAATGATTTTAATCGTTTTACCCCTGCTTGTATTATCAATGTTTTATGTTACAGGTCATTTAGAGTTTTTGTTGTAAAAAACACAAATAATAAAAAAAGTAATTATGTTATTTATTTCTTATTTAAGCATTATAGTTTAAGTTATAGCATCATACTTTAAATTTTAATTTTTTATTTACAATAAAACAAATATGTTTTTTTTGTTAATGTAACAAATTCCTAATTCGTTTTAATGATTTTGGACCATTTTACCCCTCCTGCATATTTTATGATTTTGGACTATTTTACCCCTCCTCCCCGATTTGTATTGAAATGCTTATGGGATGGCAAATAAAATATGAATAAAAAAATAGCATAAATTTATTAAAAATATGATACTATATTTGAATGTACATTGCTTAAATAGTTAAATCTTTTAACTTTTTTTACAATATAGATGTGAGTTAACTGTTATTCAACGTTTGTTGGAGATTTACAATCGTTTTATATATGTAATTTTCAATATTTCATCATTAGGTGAATGCAGTTAGAAATCTTGAAATCAAAATACATTTAATATTTTTGTACGAATATAACGGATACCTTTTTTGTTTTAAACATTCTGTACCATTTTACTCCTCCTGCCTAATTTTTTTGGGACCGTTTTACCCCTAATTGCAGTTTTAGTGTTTTACCTTATATGTGGTTTTGAATGAGTAAAAGTGAAATGATACGTGTTGGCTTTTTCTTGCTGTTTTTTATCTATTATTTGTTAAATTAAAGGTTAGTTAAATCAATTAAAAAAAACGGTTGAATGCACTAATGGAATTATCACTGTCAAGGTTATTGGAGTGTAGGAACCATGTTATTAAAGTTGAGGGTTAGTGGGTATAACCGTTTCTTATATAACCCATTACACCCGATTTTGCTTTGCACAATGATTCGTACTATTTAAATGAATTTAATGAATTTGTGTCCATTTTATGACATCGAAACCTTCTGTGTCTCCAACTCTCCATACGTTTCTTCATTGTGCTTCAATTACTCGGGTTTTCTGAAATTGGAACACATCTAAGGGTGATACAAGGTTTCAACTTCATATTATGTATTACTTTCTCTTTTCTAATGTTTGTTTATATGTTGTTAAGTGTGATATACCACAAAATTTATATGATTTTGGTGAAATTGGATAAGTTGGATCGTTTACCCATTTAAATATTTTATTGCGTTTTCAACTTTATTTAGTATGTTTGTTGCTTTTTTTGGTTTGTCGGTAAATAAAACGTGATACAGAAAACAATATTGTATTATTTTGCAACATTTTGTTTGTTCTTGAGTAAAATTGTAGATGTGTTTATGTTATAATTTATTTTGATGTAAGATGTTTTGCTATACAGGTTATCTATTGCTTTATGATATCTGTGAACACAAACAAATTCTTTTTTGGTATGTAGTTCTCTGAAACAATAGATCATCTTAACTTTTGTTTCTTAGTCAATAGTATTAACATGTTTAATAGATTTTATGGTTTAGTTTTTTTTAAATTTAGTATCATACTAATATGAAATTTAATAAGTATTGCATTGGGGTTTGCCAAATTAATATGAAAGCTGTTAATCATATCAGCTAATACATTTTAAACGTAATAAAGGAAATCTAAATTTATTATAAAACTATTTTTACAATTGTAATTATAAATGTATACATAAATGTATACATAAATATTTTTAGAGAAAAAAAATGGCAGGTTTTGTCCCAGAAGAATTATTTCATTTATATGGTGATCATTTGATGGGATGTCTTTTTTTGTTATCGTGATTTCAAGTAGAAAATTTTCACTTCCATGAATACCCGAGATATTAAAATTACTGTTTCATTTATGGTGATTTAAAGATTATTATCAATGAGAAGACACAACTCACTCCGATAGAGGTGGATATTGACAATGTATTTCCTTTATATCCATTAGTGTTTCCTATTAAAATAGTTGTGCATGACAGTGCTGTTCGAAACCTTATAATCGGGAAATATAAAACCATACTTATTTTGTGATCATATTAACAATTACATATATTAAATATATATAAATATGTTATTACTTTATGTTTTCATTTTATGTAGATTTTGTTGGAAACATTGTCTCGGGCAAACAGATTAAATTCAAAGATGAGTTTATAATACTTTTGGAAGATGAATTGTAAGATAAATATTTTTATTAAATTTTTTCATAAGTATTTTGTAAGTAAAATGATAGAAAAATCAAATGTTTTATTAAAAACTATAAATTATTTGTAGGGGACATAGAATTCAAATGAATCTATATGACACAAGTGCTTCGCTTATTGTTCCAACGTATCGTGCAATATCAAGAAAATATATCATTTTTGCGTCTCGGGTCAAGTTGGTTCGCTTACCGTCAACTATGTTATGAATCATATTTTCCTTATTATTATACAATATATTGTGTTTCAAAATATTAAATGAGAGTGTTTTATCTGTAATATATATTACTGTTTTTTTGCAGTGTGTCTTTTGGTATCAACAAAATTTACGCAGCTTGCATTTAAACCAGATATGTCTGAAGCACACAAGTTTTAGATTTAGTATATTAGTAAAGTAGAATTTTACTTTGATTAGCTATTAGTTTATTTTTATTAGATTTTTTTTAAACCTTTATATGTCTACAGTACTGTTTTATTTTCAAATTTGTTTAATTTATGTTTGTCTTATAATGATATAGAGAAACCAAAAAAATTGCTATTAGGTTATAGTTGAAATAGTTAACATTTTGTAAAAATAACAATCAAATTTCATATGTATGTTATAACATAAAAACAATAAAGAAAGTCAATTATGCAAAGAATAGATTTTAATTCATAATTGTTTACGTTAAAGCATAACAATATGTTATTTGTCTTTTAAGTAGTGTATAAAACGCTTTCTTTATGGATCTGATGATGTATAATATGTTATCGAAACAGATATATTGTAATGGATAGTCTTGGTAATACGTCTGTTCATTCAAGTGACATTGATTTTCCGTTAACAACCGATGTTTCTACCGCTTTACCTTCTGATACTATTGAAGACGAACAAGTCACGAGACGACGCCGTGGAGGTCGTCCTAGGGTAAGAGGACGACCTCCAGATTGTAGCATTGACGATATTACTTACCCAAGGTGTCGTCGTGGGAGACCATCTTTTGTTGTGTCTCCTTACTTTGTTGGTGACAATGCTCATCGGTATTCACAACATGGAAGTATACATGTCAGTGAGAATATTATTACTTCAAATTCGGTACCTAGCATGGCATTCTCATCAGGTTTATATACTTATTTTTGTAAGTAAGTTACTTACATTGAGCAACTATATGTATCATTTAAATTATATAAATTTTTATTAGCCTGTACTGTCAACATCGACGTGACGCGCACTTCCGATCGGCCATCACCTCATATGATAATTTCTTCAAGTACAACTATTGGTATTGACGGGAATCCAGTTCATTCGACTATAATGAGTAACTTGAATGCACCAAGTACAACTAATAACTCAGTTGTACATTCGGTGGTACGAACTTATAGTCTGCATAATGGTAGAAGTTCTGCTGTTTTACCTTCTAATACCTTTGATGCCCCAGCAGTCAGGAGACCAAGTCGGGGAGGTCGTCCTCGGGTAAGAGGACGACCTCCAACTTTTAGCATTGACAATATTAGCTCCACATGTCATCATCGTGGTAGACCCTCTTCTGGTGTGTCTCATTTCTTTGTTGTTGTGTCTCTTACTTACATTGATCAAGGATATGTATCATTTATATATATATATATATATATATATATATATATATATATATATATATATATATATATATATTTGTTAGCCTCTCCTCTCAACAACGAAGAGATGCGCACTTCCGATCGGCCAGCACCTCATAGGATAATTTCTTCACATACAACTTTTGATATTGGTGGGAATTCATTACATTCGACTATCACAGCTAACTCGAATGATCGGATTACAACAAATAACTCTGTTGTACATTCGTCCATACCAACTGTGGATAACGCAAGAAGTTCGTCTTCTAATGCATCACAAATTATACAATCTCAACGTAATCCTTGAATATATATTAATCACTTTTCCAACTTTGTAATAGCATGTCATTTCCTTATATTTAATTCCTTTAAATTCATGTTCTTTAGGTCGTATGTTGTCGTATTGGGATTGTGGCGATGCAACTCGCACATGTATACACTGTGAAGCTATATTATGGTATGAGGAGCGGACCATTAAAACGTATTCGCCATCCATTCCAAAATTCTCCATATGTTGTAGTGAAGGGAAGATTAAATTGCCTTTGCTTATGCAACCTCCTCAATTGTTGTGGAACTTATTGGATTACAACGGTGATCGACGTTCAAAAGTTTTTAGAAAACATATTAAGCTTTTAAATCGTATGTTTGCGTTCACGTCAACTGGAGGAAAGATACATACGAGTGGTAATGATGGTAGAGATCCGTATACATTTCATTTGAATGGTCATAATCACCATAGAATCAGTACTTTGTTACCTACACATGATGATGGACGTCCTAGATTTGCGCAGTTGTACATTTATGATACTGAAAATGAAATCAATAATCGATTTTGTGCGTTACGCAATTGTGTTCCTACAAGATCAGATGTAACTATGCTTCGACTGTTGGTTCAAGAACTCCTGTCTATGCTAGATGAGAATAACTCATTGGTTCAAGCATTTCATATGGCTAAAGATAGGTTCCATGAGTCATCAACACAGTCGGTTAAGATTCGATTAATTGGTAACCGAACCAAAGACGGGAGACAGTATAATCTACCAACTGTATCTGAAGTAGCTGCATTGATTCCAGGTGATGGTAGTCCTATACAGTCTCGTGATGTACTTATTGAGGATCGTGGTGATGGTACTGTGCGAAGGATAAGCAAACTGCATCCATCTTTTATGGCGTTGCAGTATCCGTTACTTTTCCCAAATGGAGAAGATGGGTTCCATTTAAATATCCCTTTATCGAGTAATTCTACATCACACAAAAGAAAGAATGTTACCTTGAGGGAATATTATTGTTTTCGTTTGCATTTTCGGTTAACTGAAGGTAAAACTCTACATAAAGCCGGTCGTTTGCTTCATACATTCATAGTTGATGCTTACGCTGCAGTGCTTGAACATGATTTAGAATGGTATAAGAGAAACCAAAAGACTATTCGTTCCGAGCTGTATCATGGTTTGACTGATAGTTTATGTAGAGGCGAAACAAGTGCTTCATATGTGGGTCATCGAGTTATACTACCATCATCATTTAATGGTGGACCGAAGCATAAGATACAACAATATCAGGATGCAATGGCCATATGCTGTTGGGCTGGAACTCCGGATCTATTTGTTACGATGACGTGCAACCCTAAATGGCCAGAAATTGAACGTCATATTCAACAAATGGTACCTGGTCAACCAAGTACCGATCGACCTGACATTGTTACGCGTATGTTCAAGATTAAGCTTGATGACCTGATGAATGACATAAGGAAAAAACATCATTTTGGTCGTACAAAAGCCGATATGTTTTCTTAATATATTTGTTTTCGTCTTTAATTTTAATGTATGTTCTTTTGCTGTATAATTTTAATTATATGTGTATGAAGTTATTTACACAATTGAGTTCCAAAAACGTGGGTTGCCACATTGTCATTGTCTTGTGTTTCTTCATCCGCCAGATAAAATAAGCACAGCCCAAAAATAAGCACAGCCCAAAAGATTGATCAATTTGTATCGACAGAGTTGCCTTCTCAGGAAAATGACCCAATTGCTTTTGAAGCTGTTCGTAGTCACATGATGCATGGTCCATGTGGCCAACTTAACACTTTAAGTCCATGTATGCACAATGGAAGTTGTTCTAAAGGGTACCCTAAGGAATATTGCGATGAAACTTTCATTAGGCGTGATGGTTGGCCCTGTTATAAAAGGTCTAACGATGGTTCGAAAGTTAAAGTTGGTAATGAGGATATCATGCTTGATAACCGATACGTTGTTCCTCATAATGTCGATTTGCTTGTCAAATATGGTTGTCATATAAATGTTGAGTATTGCAACCAAGGCAGTCTGATTAAGTATCTTTTTAGTTACATTAATAAAGGCCATGATCGTGCCACTGTTGTTTTGGAAGGTCCAGACAGAACACGATCTTTTATATCGATGTTGCACAACGAGAATGAGATCGAAGAATATATTAATTGTCGTTACATTTCTGTATCAGAAGCATGTTGGAAATTGTTGGGATTTGAGATACAATATCGCTCGGTTGCAGTAGAAAGACTACCATTTCATGAAGAGGTATTAGTCAAATAGTCAACATTGTCATTCTAAACGTGTATAATATAAACACAAACAGTCAGTCAAGAGTCTCCACTAGAATAGGAGCTTATATCTCATATTTCTGTTGTATCTCTGTGTATAAATCCATCCTCCATAAATGAAATTCACATACAGTTCATTTGAATTTCTATATGGTATCAGAGCATATCTTCTAAAAATCCAATTTTTTTTTTCAGATCTTCGTTGTTACTATCAAATGGCTGGTAGTCAACCTCATCTTCTAAATCTTGCAACCACCTCCACCACAAACCAAGCTTTTTAGATTCCTTCCATCTCCATTAAATTGGACCGAGAAAATTACGCCCTATGGCGCACCACTATCATTGCAGCTCTCCAAACTTTTGATCTTGAATCATTTATTCTCGATCCCCAACCTCCACCGCAAGAGATTGAAGTTCCAGCCACCGACGGAACTCCTGCCACCGCCACTGAACCAGCAATTCCAGCTACTCCGGCGACCACTAAACCAAATCCAGAGTATAAGATCTGGAAAAAGCGTGATGGTATTGTGCTTCTGTGGATTCAATCCACCCTTTCCACCCGAGTCCTAGCTATGGTTACTTGTTGTGTTTCCTCTCAATTGGCTTGGCAGGCCATTGAGCGAAATTTCCAAGCCCAATCAAAGGCTACTCGCATGCAATTAAAAGCCCAGCTACAAAGTCTCACAAAAGGGTCCATGTCGATTCTTGATTATGTTGAGAAGAAGCGGTCAATTGCCGATTCATTGGCTGTAAATCTTCATCCGATTAGTGATGAAGATCTGATTGGTTACATTCTTTATGGACTTGATGCTTCTTACAGTGCTTTCACTACTGCATTCATGATGAAAAGTGAAACACTTTCCATTGATGCTCTCACGGGTCTTCTCCTCCAAGAAGAAGCTCGTCTGGAACAAGATCACCTCAGACAAGCATCTATGACAACCAATTCCATTGCTCTCTATATAAATCGATCAAATCAGAGAAACTTTAATCCTAGACACCAAAATAACAATTCTTCGGGCATCAAAGGTAATGATTCTCGTCCTCCTAAACCCACGTGTCAAATCTGTAACAAAACAGGGCATGGAGCAATTGACTGTTGGCAAAGGTCAAACCAAACTGATTTTCCCTCACGAAGACCGAATCCCAGAAATCAACAAAGACAAGCAAATGTTGCTCAATACACCAATCCCTCTACTGTAATTGATCCAGCCTGGTACTTTGACACAGGGGTAACCGATCATGTCTCTCCAGATCTTCAAAAACTACATCTTGCTGAGGAATACAAAGGGGATGACAAACTACAAGTAGGAAATGGTAATCAATTGTCTATTTCTCATGTTGGTTCATCTTATTTGCCTAATCTTAAGTTGCCAAATGTCCTAATCGTTCCTAAACTTACCAAAAACCTTCTAAGTGTCTCCAAATTAACTGATGATAATGATGTCTTAGTTGAATTTGGTCGTACTCATTGCAATGTTAAGTCTTTTCAGGGCAAAACAATCCTCCGAGGGAACAAAACTGATGGTCTTTATCGGCTGCCTTTCAACTCCAATAAAGTTGCACTCTCTGCTGTTCGTACTTCTCTTCATGGATGGCGCAGAAGACTTGCACATCCTCATGAACCAGTATTAAGGCGTCTAGTTTCCAGTTTTCATTTACCTGTTTCTTCAAATAAGTTACCCAATGTCTGTCACTCATGTCAATTGGGTAAGAGTCATAGGTTTCATTTGTCTACTTCACATAAGTCGTCTTCTAAACCTTTTGAATTGGTGTATTCAGATGTATGGGGTCCTTCCCCCGTTTTTTCATTGAATGGATCACGATATTTTGTTTTGTTTATTGATGACTGTACTAAATTTATTTGGATCTATTTCTTGTCTCATAAATCTCAAGTCTTTGCCACTTTTTTGCAATTCAGAACCATGGTTAAAACTCATTCTCGTATGATATCAAAAGCTTACAAACCGATTGGGGAGGGGAATATCGCAATGTCTCTGCTTTTCTAAACACACATGGTGTCATTCATCGAGTCACATGTCCTCACACTCATGAACAAAATGGAGCTGTTGAGAGACGAAATCGCATCATAATCGAAAAAGGTCTTGCTTTATTAACTCAATCATCCTTACCACAACTGTTTTGGGAACATGCTTTTAAAACCTCCACTTACTTACATAATCGCACCATTACACCTCTTCTTAACTATGATTCTCCTTATCAACGATTATACAATAAAGTTCCTGATTATAATTTTCTCAAAGTATTTGGCTGTTTGTGTTATCCGTTTCTGCGTCCTTATAACAAACATAAAATCGATTTCAGATCTCTTCCTTGTCTGTTTATTAGGTATAGTGCAACTCACAAGGGTTACTTATGCTATCATGACAAATCCTCTCGCATATACATTGCACGTCATGTTGTATTTGATGAGGACAAATTCCCATCTGTTTCAGTGTCTGATACCCCATCAACATCTGAGCCAACTTCCTTTTCAAACTCATCCACCATTCTTGAGTGTGCTGAACATATTCACTATTCACAATCGTCTCCATCAACACCTTTACCACAATCCGTACCCCCTACTCCTCCAATACAGCCTCAACATCATATTGTGTCATCATCATCAGTTCCTTCTACTTCTGCCTCTGTCATTCCACCGCCAATACCTCCTCAAAGTACTATCATCAATTCCAGATTGCAGCACACCACTCCTGCTGTTTCTATGTTTCGACCAACAGAAAATAATTAACACTCCATGGTCACACGTGCTAAAACAAATTCACTCAAACCAAAAGCTTTCACATCCCAAACTCTAGCTGATCCAACTTTTGAGCCTCGAACCTTCACTCAAGCCAATAAGCATTCTTTGTGGCAACTTGTGATGAAAGCAGAATACGATGCTCTCATGAAAAATAACACTTGGTCACTTGTTTCTTTACCTGTTAATACTAATATTGTTGGTTGTAAGTGGATCTATAGGGTCAAATGAAAGTCCGATGACTCTATTGAACGACACAAAGCCCGGTTAGTAGCTCAAGGTTTTAGTCAAGAAGCAGGCATTGATTATTTTGACACTTTTAGCCCTGTTATAAAACCTACTACCATACGTCTGGTTCTCTCTATTGCTTTGTCTCAAGGCTAGAATATCCGTCAACTTGACATAAATAATGCCTTTTTGAATGGTGATTTATCTGAAGTGGTATATATGCAACAACCAAAGGGGTTTGAAGATCCAACAAAACCATCTCATGTTTGTCGATTACACAAAGCTCTATATGGACTAAAACAAGCCCCTAGGGCTTGGTTCACCAAGTTAAAACAGTATCTTGTCTCAAATGGATTTCATGCATGTCAATCCGACACATCTCTGTTTGTTCATCACTCAAAATCCTCTACAGTTTATGTGCTGGTATATGTTGATGACCTCATTATTACTGGAACAAATAATGATCATCTTCAACAATTTATCAATGCTCTAAATCGGGTCTTCTCTCTTAAAGATCTTGGAAATCTACACTACTTTCTTGGCATTAAAATTCAGCAACAACCATCCGGTCTCACTATGTCTCAACAGGGCTATATTCAGGATGTCCTAGAAAGAAGCAAAATGTCCATGGCTGCACCCATTTCAACACCTGCTGATCCACAAACGCGACTTCAAAAACATGGTGATCCTTTCTCTCATCCTACCTTATATTGCCAAATTGTTGGCTCGTTGCAGTATGCTACTATCACTCGCCCTGATATTTCTTATTCAGTAAACCGTGTTTGCCAATTCATGCACTCTCCAACAAATCACCACTGGCAGGCAGTGAAACGGATCCTAAGGTATCTTAAAGGCACCATAACTCAGTGCTTGCACTTCAAGAAAAATAAAGGTCACTCGTTACATGCGTATTCTGACTCAGGCTGGAACTCAAATTTGGATGATTCTCGATCGCAATATGGCTTTGCCATCTTTCATGGGTCAAACTTGATTAGCTGGACCTCTCGCAAACAAAAAGTTGTAGCTAGATCAAGCACCGAAGCAGAGTATAGATCATTGGCCTATACTACAGCTGAATTACTTTGGATCAAACAACTGTTATGTGACCTCCATGCGCCCATTTAAAATCCACCACTCTTACTATGTGACAATGTAGGTGCAATATTCATGAGCAAAAATCCAGTAATAAGTACCAGATCCAAACACATTGCACTTGATTTTCATTTTGTTCGGGAACAAGTAGAATCAAATCAACTAAATATCTGCTACGTTTCTTCCATTGACCAGCTGGCAGATATATTCACCAAGCCGTTAGGAAAGGGACGAGTTCTGTTTCTTCGTTCCAAGCTGCAAGTCCGTCCCGCACTTGAGCTTGTCGGAGGGTATTAGTCAAATAGTCAACATTGTCATTGTAAACGTGTATAATATAAACACAAACAGTCAGTCAAGAGTCTCCACTAGAATAGGAGCTTATATCTCATATTTCTGTTGTATCTCTGTGTATAAATCCATCCTCCATAAATGAAATTCACATACAGTTCATTTGAATTTCTATAAGAGGAGTGTCAAAGAGTTTACTTTAGATGATATTGCAGAAGTTCTGGGTAGGAGGGTATATGCGGTGTCTAAGTTTACTGAATGGATGAGAGCAAATCAATTATATGAAGAAGCCTGATTGTTAACTTATTCAGACTTCCCGACGAAGTTTACATGGCATGAAAAAGGGGATGTTAAGGAATGGAGGCCACATAAAAATGTTTTGGTTATTGGTCGGTTATATTTTGTAAATCCAAATGAAGGAGAAAGGTATTATCTTCGTATGCTACTAAATGTTGTACGTGGACCCTGCAGTTTTAAAGATATTCGCACTGTTGATGGTGTTGAGCATCCGACCTATATGTCTGCTTGCAAAGCGTTGAGGTTACTAGGAGATGATGGTGAATGGGTTGAGTCAATCCGAGAGGCTTCCCAATGGCAGTCAGGAAAGCAACTTCGAGAACTATTTGTAACTATTTTGTTATTTTGTGATGTTGCTGATCAAGAAAAGTTTTTTTGGGATTCTTTCCCGTTTTTATCAGAAGATGTTGCTTATAATCAACGTAGATTGCTTTATAATGAAGATCTAATGTTCTCGCATGATGAGTTGGTAAACTACACTCTGCTTTATATCGATAATATTTTATATGGGAATTGTCGTTCGTTGGTTGATTTCCCCAGTCTACCTCAGTTAAACCATAGTTTGTTAAGTATAGGTTCGAATAGGTTAATTGCTGCTGAGCGGACATACAACATCGAAGAATAAATAAGGATTTTCAATGAGCTTTACAGCGGTTTAAATGTGCAACAGAAAGAAGTTTATACTATTATAATTAATGCTGTCAATGAAAAGACAGGTGGCTTTTATTTTGTCTCTGGTTCTGGAGGGACAGGCAAAACATATTTGTGGAGAACAATTATTGCTTCTATTCGATCACATGGAAAGATTGTTTTATCAGTCGCGTCATCTGGCATTGCATCTTTGTTATTACCTGGTGGTCGTACAGCGCATTCCAGGTTTAATATTCCTATTGATATTGATAAAGACTCAACTTGTGGTGTCGATGTTGGCTCAGATCTCGCAGAGTTGATTAATATTGCTGAGCTGATTATTTGGGACGAAGCTCCACTACAAAATCGTTATTCATTTGAAGTTGTTGATCGTGCATTTCGTGATGTATGTCGTTATTATGTTGCTGGATCTGAAAACAAAGTGTTCGGAGGGAAAGTGGTAGTTCTTGGGGGTGGTTTTCGTCAATTTTTGCCTGTTATTCAACATGGATCCCGTTCTGATGTTGTGTCCTCTTGTATAAACAAATCAGAAGGTCTATGGAATTCATGTCGTTTTTTTTTGTTTTGACAACGAACATGCGTTTGTCTAATCAAAACATTACTGACGATGAACTTATAAAAATGCGTGAATTTAGTAAATGGATTCTTGAAATGGGTGTTGGTCGGCTTCCTACGTGTACAGTTGAAGGTGAAGACGATGGTACATGGATCACTATACCTGATGATCTTCTTATTCCTGTTGCTGATAATCCTATTGATGCTGTTACATCCATTGTATTCCCAGATATTTTGAGTAGACTTAATGACATGTCTTACATAAAGGAACGATGCATCCTTTGCCCGACAAACGATGATGTTGACATGATCAATTTACATGTGCTTTCTAAGATATCTGGTGACATGCATGAGATGTTAAGTGCTGATGAGATTTGTCGAAGTACTGATAATTTTTCCGAATTGGAAATTATGTATTCTTCAGAATTTCTTAACACGTTGCGGTTCTCAGGAATTCCAAACCATGAGTTAAACTTAAAGGTTGGTGCACCGATCATTATGTTACGTAACTTAAATTTGCAAAGAGGTTTGTGCAACGGGACTCGGTTGGTCATCACACAAATTAGTCGGAGGGTTTTGGAGGCGGTGATTATTACCGGTACTCATATTGGAGAGAAAGTATTAATTGGGAGGATTGATATGACTGCATCAGACACAACATGGCCTTTTAGATTTAAATGAAGACAATTTCCTGTCAAAGTTTGCTTCACTATGACAATCAACAAAAGTCAAGGGCAAACGTTTAATCATATATGTACTTTCTTGGTGAAACCTGTTTTTTCACATGGTCAGCTTTACGTGACAGCGTCTCGTGTAACCTCTCGTGCTGGTCTTCACTTTTATATTGACAACAAGGGGAAGTGTGGTAACAATATGACAAAGAATGTTGTTTACAAAGAAGTTTTCTATAATTTACCATTACATGGTATAAACAACATTGAATGACTGCATTGCAAGTTCCGATATAGGTATAATCCTATTCATAAATGCATAAGTTCATGAAGAGGCTTATTTCTTAAGATGTACAATTTTTTTTTTCAGAAAAATAATCATGTAATGTTTGTTCATCCTTTTTTTTAATACAAAAATTTCATATATTATATTTGATTTATTAAAAAACTATAATTTTTTAAGGAAATATATATACGCATCATTTACTAACTTCAAACATTCGGTAGTAAATTAACAACTACAATCCCTTTGATACTTCCATTATGGCTATTAATGTAATTTAGTTATTTATTTATTTATTTATTAATCTTTTTTAATTGATTAGGATTTTTTTAACTTAACGTTTTACCCTAATTGATATCGTCTATCTCCATTGAATATATCCGACTTATCCCTCATTCCTATTTCTCCGCTGTTAACTGCCAACGATCGGTAGCTCCACGTTCTCTTCTAATGTTTCAACTTATTCGATTGTTTAGGGTCTTTAAACTCTTGTCGATCACTATTGTCGTCTGGTACTGTATATTGTGCTTCAGGTATCAGTAAACGTACTTGCCTCTTTTTTTATTTCATAGTATACAGAATTTGTGCGTGCAAGGTTAGTCTTAGTTAATTTTTGTTTGTTGAAGAATGTAATAATCAATTAATGATGACACTGATTAATTATCACACTGGTGCTGTTCTAAATCGAAGTTCTGGTCAATTTCTTTATTAGTAATTTTGATTTATGTTGGATATCGATCGTTTGATTGTAATTTTGATTTTTGTTGGATATCGATGGTTTGATTGCAATATGTTATGGATATGTATATAGGAAGACATGACGATCAGTTCCAATTATCTGATGATAAGTGATTTGAGGCCTAACATTACTGATAAGTTGCAAGTCCATGTGATGGTCTCACGTAAGTGGACAACATACAACCCTTCAACAGATCGTGTTTTCTCTTTAGATCTAATTCTTTGTGATGAAAATGTAAGTTTATTTGATTAAGTATTTCTGACTTTGCATTATGATATGGATTTTGTATGTTATGATATTACTTGCATTTAACAGGGATCTTCTATTCATGCAACCATTGCAAGTTCATTCATGTGCAAGTTTACTGATGTTGTACAAGAGGGATGTGTTTATAGGATATATAAATTCTCGGTTTTACCTTGTCAATCATTATATCGCCCACTTCGTATGGACATCTTTATTAAATTTCTTGCTGATACGTCAATTGCTGCTTCCCACTTGCGATCAACAGTCTTTCAACGTTATGTTTTTGACTTATTTCCGTTCAATGAGCTTAGTTCACGTGTTGGTGACGAAAAATATCTTACAGGTTAAAATTGTTTTTCTACGTTTGTTATTAGATTGCAAAATCTTAAGTAACTTCTTATTAAATTGTAGATGTCATTGGGAATCTTTGTGAGTGGGGTTCTCTTGAGGAAACAGCACGACCATCTAACTCATGTAAAGTTGGATTGCGAAAGATTGTTCTTTCTGATCAAAGGTATATTATGATTATATATATATATATATATATATATATATATATATATATATATATATATATATATATATATAAATTTGAGATAATTTAATATGTTACAACATTGGTTGATGGTTATTACTAAATTTATTTGGTACAGTGATATGAAAGTGAGTATAACATTGTGGGGTAAGTTGGCTAAGAAGTACACCGATGAATATATCAAAAGTTTTAAGGAGATGAAAATTGTACTCATTGTAACGTCTTGCAAAGTTGTATTGTTCAGAGGTGTAATTTCATTTTTTTATAAATAAGATGTTAATTATGTTTACATGTAATATATATATATATTATATATATATATATATATATATATATATATATATATTTGTTACTATTGTAGGTGTTCCAAGTTTGAGAACTACACTTGGATCTGAATTGTATTTTAATCTTCCAATAGACATTGTTGCTATATACAAATCAAAGTAACCGTGTTATTATATTTATTATTTGTTAATTTGTTTTAACACATTTATCAATATACGTTACTTTTTTATGTTGTCGGATTATAGTCAAGCGATGCATGTCTTGCTTCAATCGGAGAGGCAAGTTGAACGTCCTTCTCTGGCAACCATAGAAAATATGTATAGTGATATACAAAAAGGCGTCATTGAGGTAGTACCTTATTACTATGAAATATGAATTATTATAGTAAATATGTAATTAATTATATCTATATTTCATTTATGAATGGTACACTGTACACTGTTGTTGGAACGATCATTGACATAGATATGTTTAATGATTGGAAGTTCGTCTAATGTTCAAGATGCTATAAGAAGGCTACTTTCGTTGATAATCGCTATGTTTGTTCTGGCTGTCAGAAAAATATAATTAACCCGCGTCAAGTGTATGTTTATATATATATATATATATATATATATATATATATATATATATATATATATATATATATATATATATATATATATATTATAATACTTATATGATGTTTCTAAAAACTTTTGTTTAGGTATAAGTTGGTAGTTGAAGTAGCTGATAAGGATAAGCAAATGAGTTGTGTTTTCTTTAATGAATATGCTACTCAACTTATTGGCCTTACTGTTGGTGAATTAGTTAATATGAATTTATTGGAGGTTACTGTTGTGTGTGTGTATATATATATATATATATATATATATATATATATATATATATATATAATATATATATTGAAACACCCACACAAATGCTTACATATAATACTATTTTATTATGTTTTTATAGGGTGGTAATGATCGTAATTGGATACGTACTTTCCTGTTTGAAAGGTTATGTCGTCTAAGTATTGTTTTTTCAATTAAGATTGACCATTACAATTTGGCACCACAATATGTGCTTCGTTTCACGGTTACTAAATACCATGGTGCAACTTGTAAAATTCCAAACCAAGAAAAGACGTTGCCTACAAATGAGGTAATTTCTCAATTGCAAACAACTGTTGTCGAATCATTGTTGTCTCCATCATCTGCATCAACGGTAAAGTTTATTGGATCTTACATTATAAATTTTTTATTGTATTGTTTATATATTATTTTACAATATGTATTTTTTTTGTTTTTGTATTTATTTTTTTGTTTGCTTATCAAGGAGTTTGTGTTTTTCATAAGTGCAATTCTCATGTAAATAATCTTAAATTTACAAATACTGCTACGGATCATGTTTCGTTTATTAAATGATTTTTACTACATATTTTCTTAAATTATCTTAATTTAATATGTTCATTATTAATTTTTTTTTCGTATTAGGATGACTTACGTAATGTCAAAGATGAGGGTTTCAGTGCTTCTATTTCGGAATTAAATCATACGGAATGTAAAGATGTAAGTTATAATCTTTTGTTTACCAATTTTATTTCTGTTACATAGTGAAATTATTCATTTGTTACTTTCATATTGTTTTTTTTTTGTGTGCATACTTAGGATGATGTTGGTTTATTTCCGATTCAAACAAATGTTGTTGAATCAGTGTCACCTAAATCAGCAACATCAACAATAATGGTACTGCTTATTGTATTTTTTACTACAAATTATATATATAAGTTATATTCGTTATATCTTATGTTTCTTTATGTATTTCACTTGCATAATTATTAGGTCGTTTGTGATAATCATGAGTTTGATGTTTCTGACAAGCCTATTTATAAAGTAAATAATATTGAGTGCAATAATTAATTCATACCATGTTTTCTTTCAATTTAGTTTAAATTGTTATATATTTAGTTCAATTACATTATTTGATATTCTTATTATTTATCTTTTATTTTTTCTTACTAGGATGCTTCTGGTAATATGAAAGATGATGCTATTGTGGCAGCTATGTATGAGGTTAGACATGTGAAATATATTTAATAATGTAACTTGTAACTTATGTTTTGTCATATGGTTTTACTTATGTTATTTTCTTATAATTAGGTTGCTTCTAATAGTAATGAAAATGATGGTGTTACAAAAAGTGTATCTGATGAAAAGGATGTGGAAGATAGTGACAGATGTGACAATGTATTATTATATTTTTTATACTATTGTTCTATATTTTTTTTTAGGTTTGAAGTTTTCTTATTCTTCTTATTGATCTATTCAATTAGGTTGGTGACGATACTATTGAAGATGATATTTCTAAGACACCTATCTCCATATGTGGTTTACAAGATGGTGCAGAAAGTGAAGTAAGTTACAACATATTGTGTATACTTTCTATTTTCCTTACGATATGGAACAAAATTTCAACGATTATTGTCACCTCATTTGATACATTTGAAGTTTTCTTATTCTTCTCATTGATCTATTCAATTACGTTGGTGATGATACTATTGAAGATGATATGTCTAAGACACCTATCTCCATATGTGGATTACAAGATGGTAGAGAAAGTGAAGTAAGTTACAATATATTGTGTACAAACTTTCAACTATTATTGACACCTCATTTGATACATTACTTTGTTAGTTATTATTCTTATTTTCATTTTCCATTTTTTTTACAATTAGGATGTTTGTGCTGTTATTGAAGTTGATTCTTCTGAAAAATCGTTTATCGGATCCTCAATAACACCAATGAAGCGTCGACTTCCACGATTGTGTGACGAGTCTTCGGAAGATGATAATGTTGGTTGAATTCATTTTACTTTTTAAGTTTTTTGACATTGTTTTCTAAATTGTCTTTCTCTTCCAATTTTCAAATTTCAGTTTTCATATTATCGTAGTCCTCAGTTTTTTTATAGGTTAATTGAAATTATTAGGTAGATTAAACTTTTTATAGTAGGTTTTAGACATATTTATTATTCGATAACTTTAAATGTATGGAATGACATGGTACATTCATGTTTTTTTTGTCCTTATGACGAAACACATTATTGTTGGGGTGCCATATGCCAAATGATCTTACTAGGTTTTTCCATAAGATATTACTTGGTTTGTCGTTGTGGGTGATTTTATCTGAACTAATATATAAATGAATGAAAGTAATATGCAGTAAGCTTAAGATAAATCAAAATACTATTCATATATTTGTCAATCCGTCCACCAGACGGGTATGACACCAGTTATTGATTATTATCACAATATTACTAAAAAAAAACTTAGTAATTACAATTTTGTTATAAAGATACAAAATAACTCGTCATCTTTGATAACATTGTTAAATAATTAATCTAATTTCTTAATACATCTAAAGTTAATTTCAAAAGTTTAAGGGTTTCTTTCTAAAATTTTTATTAGTCCAATATAAATAAACTGGATGAATGATTAATGGTAAAATGTTGTATATTTAAAATGATAATTTTTATTTTGAAGAAAATAAAAATGTAAGTAGATGTTTCTTTTTAAAATGATGTATAGATGATGAATGATGATAATGTCTATCTATAATAAGGTGGTGTTTGAGATTACTTTTTAAGCTCAAAAGTTTTTTTTGTAAAAGTTTTTTTTTCTTAACTTTCGCTTTTAAGGGAACAAAAGCCAAAAGTTTTTAAAAAGTATTTGAGTTGTATTTTTTGACTTTTGAATGTAATTTATCTTTTAAAAAGCTAAAAGTTAAAAAAAAAACACAATTTCTTAACTTTTAAAAAATATATTTTTCTTTTTGGCAAAAAGTTACTTTGAAAATGACTTATTTATGTCTCAAACATCTTTTTGAATTTTTTGACTTTTTGAAAAAGTTAAAAATCAAAAAGTTATTTGAAAAACAATCTAAAACATCCTCTAAGTTTTATAAGAATAAAAAATGTTTATTTTTGGGCCGAATCAATTGGTAAATGTCATATTTATTTTTATATCTAAAATTGATGTTATCCTTAATTGAAAAATACTATAAATTTAAATGGTAAATGATAAAAACTTATTAAAATAATACTCAATTAATTCTTCACTTAAACATAATATTTAACCACAACATGATTAAAAAGTATTTTTGAACTACTGATTTCCTCAACAATAGATAAAATCTACAAAGTTGATGTTCCTATTTTTTTTTTAGGTTGTATTTATACTTTTACCATGTTTTTATATATTTTTTGCATCGAAATATTAAGGTATTTTCGGGATTGTACATATATTTGTGTTGTTTACTTAAGAGTGTCATGAGTTGCGGGATGCAAAGCTTAATTCCATTGCTCTATTTGATAAGTCTCCCCAAAATGGTATTTCTGTGATTTTATTTATTTTAATTTTACTTAGGGTGCCGGTGGTCTTCTTTCTAGCAGTGTAGTGGACCCAATAACACACCAGATTTTCCGCGGGTATCCCTTCAGGGTGATAAAACCCTCTGCGTACGCTCATCCCTCCTCCGTTACAACTTACAACTTACAACTTACAACCTTCACTTCACTCCTCCTTCCGCTGCGATCGATGATGGTCTCCACCTCCAAATCCACCGATTCCTCTAATACCAGAGTATCCTCTCTCTCGCTCTCTCTCATCATCTTTTTGTTCCTTGAATTCACACAGACACGCACCTTGATTGATCACTCGTATTCTAAATGCAGAGACACTTTTGTATTCTCTTTTCTATTATGTGTGTATGAATTTGGGGCTTGTTGATATAATTCAATTGATGATCGATCGTAACTTCTTAAAGTTTCATGTCTTTGCGTTACATAATTGACGATGATCATTTTTCACTTGACTGAGTTGTTCTGGGATGGGAGGTTGCTATCTGACTTTCTTCTTTCGATACTTGACGCCTCCAGTTGACTGAACCGGTGAAACTAAGAAAATTTTGAATTTTAACTTCAATTGGTACTATTTTGAATTGCGAACTTATTTGGTACTAATACTAAAAATTATATTCTCCTCTTCTCTTGTTCGCTGTTTGTGTATAATTTCTAAGGGTTCAACTTTATACTTAACATGATACTCATACTGATTTTGCAACATCAACCGTTTAAGGCTTATGGCTTGTGCTTTACTTCCTTTGTGTTATCATGGAAATTTCAATCCTTTTGCTTTTCCGGAGTGATGCACATCTATATAATTGTTGAGTCAATACCAGTTGGTGGTTCTGAAGCATAGTTGAATAACTTTTACTCCCATTATTAAACAGCTCAATCTGCACATTATTGCACCTGCGCTACCTGTAAAACTGACCTATGTACCCCAATCATTTCTTTTTGAATTTGTTCAATAAAGGAAATTTATAATGATAATGTTTTTATATTTGAGCCTACAAGCAAAGTGCATCTTTAATCTTAGAATGGAGGGACTATAACATTTCCATGCTTGATACACTGTTTGTGGAAAAAGAAAAGCAAGGAGCATTATATTTCTCCAATACTTCAAATATTGCTTAAATGCATAGAGAAGATTTTTGTTCCAATTTTTATATCTTGGCGTTTTGTTTGAGCTATTGGAAACAGTAGACCAAAGTTGTATTTGTATATTAATCCTTTGATAGATTTTGTTGTCCTGATTACCATCCTCCTTAAATTGACAGAATTTGCAGGGAGAGCAATTTTCTGGTGATTTAGGATTCTTAACATCAAGGATAAATCAACTGAAGAAGCAGATTGAAGCAGAAAGGGCTCTTTTGATCAAAGTGAGTTGATACCTGTTATGATGTACTTTGTATCATGTAGTTATTGTTTGTGTTTGTTTTCATCATCTAATGGCATCACCTAACCATGTATCACCCAGCAAGTGCTCATGAGAAAATAGTAGTTTTCTTACCTACTGTCAAGTGAATGAATACCGATTTACTTAGAAACAATAAAGAAGTAACTGTTGATGGTATAAGAAATGAAGTTAGTAAGTAAAAGTAGTTTCCATTTTACTATTGCACAGGAAAAAGTTGAGAAGAATAGAGAGAAGTTAAGAAGCGATGTTTCTGAGCTTCTGTCATTAGCTATGCTTAGAACTGATGGTTCGTCTAAGGAAAACAATGGAGAGGGTAAGATGCTTTCTTCAAGGATTAAAAATCCCCTTTGCCTTCTTACTGGCCAAGTATCAAGTGATGATAACACCAACACCACCACTCAAGAAGCAGCTATTTCCATAAGCGCTAAGCTACCACCTGCAGATAAAATACCACCTTATACTACTTGGATATTTTTGGACAGGTTTTTCATCATCTCTACTTTCTTTTTTAAATACACATGACATAGCATACATAAACAGGAGAAGATTACTGAACCAGTTTCTTTTTTTGGATCACAGAAATCAGAGAATGGCTGATGACCAGTCAGTTGTTGGGAGGCGACGTATCTACTATGACCATAATGGAAGTGAAGCTCTCATCTGTAGTGACAGTGAGGAAGAGATTACTGAACTAGAGGAAGAGAAACATGAATTTTCTGAGGCAGAAAATCGCATCATGAGGTCAGTTGAAATATTTTAGCTCAAACATAAATCATGTAGTTGATACTGGTCTGAAAACATATCATTACCTGCTGAATTTTGCAGGACGATTTGTCAGGATTATGAGCCTAGTGAGGAAGTACTTAAAATCTTGACACAACATATCGGTGGAAATACTTCAGAAATCTATGTACTTAAGTTGCTTCGATATCTTCTTGATCAAGAACTCATATTTTCCACGTCAAATTTTACTTTTTACTACTCTTCCATATACTTGTTATAATATTCTCTTTTCTTGCTTCTTCTGTGATGTAGGAGGCATATATCATGCTGAAGACAGAAGAAGAAGAAGAGAAAGTAAACCGAGATGTGTGTACTTCTACAGACCATGAGCATCATAGGAACATATCTCTGGACAAAAGCCTTAGTGCTTCATTAGATTCTCTTGATAATCTCTTTTGTCGGCGATGTTTGGTACTTCTGGGTGCTTTTTGGTTACTGTTGGTTAGATTGGGTCAATGGTAATGCTCATTTCTGCTTATTTATGTGAATGTGACAGGTATTTGATTGTCGTCTTCATGGCTACTCTCAGTCTGTTATTATTCCTGTAAGCATTTGTGCTCTCACAACCATTGCACTTTCATGGTGGATTTACTCCATCCTGCACTAATGTAATGTGCTTCCATTTGCATCTTAAACAGACGGAAAGACAGTACTGCCCTCTTGAGTCTCAAGAAAATGCAAAACCCTGCAGTGACCACTGTTACCTTCAGGTTTACCAACCCAATCTACATTTCACATTCCCTAGTAACTGATCCACTAGGATCCATCTTTCTGCTCAAGAGAAGTGTCCCCTTTGACTACTGATAAACTGATGGTCATTCATTTGTATGTATTTCGTTATCTATCCCTTCAAAATGAAATTGTATCTCAAATTATTGCAGTTTCAAACTGAGAAGAAGCATTCAGATTGTCTAGATGTCTTAAGCGAGACACACAACAGAACCTCAGATCAGAAGATCCAGACTGGTGCTGATCCAGGTGATGATTACACAAAGCATATTTTTAGAGGCTTTTTTTTATATAAATTTGGTCCTCAATGCTTGCTTTTGGAGGGGGAAAGAGGATTGTTTTGTCAAGTGTTTTAATTACATGTGAACTTGTATCTGTTGGTACTTGGTATGATGGTTTAATCTATGTATGATGACAATACAGGGAAGCAAAAGGTATCAAAACAAACAACCACAGTGTTAGAAGAATCAAAAGATGTGACTAACGAGCAACAAGAATCTTCCCTTAAAAAACAGAAAAGGTTGTCAATACCTGATGCAGTTTCTATGACAATTGAAGATACTCAAGTTTGTGATGAAAAAAGCATGGAGGTGGATGTTACCGAAGATGAAACAACCAGAAAGGATGAAGCAACTAGTTCTGGCTGTGTTTCAGCAGATGTGATGAAAGACATGAGTAGAGGCGGAGTCCATTTGTCAAATCCAGTAGTAAATTGTGAATGGAAACCTCTTGAGAAAGAACTATATGTGAAGGGATTAGAGATTTTTGGGAGAAACAGGTACATGATTATTGTTTGGTGAAGCATTAATGAGTAGATTATTGTTTGTTGTTTGAGGTTGTGTAACCTGATCCTAATGGGTTTGCAGCTGCCTGATAACCAGAAACTTACTTTCTGGATTGAAAACTTGCATAGAAGTAGCCAATTATATGTATGAGATTGGAGCAGAGACGTCACTTAAGGCATGCTCTATGTTAAATGGCAATGAGAGAGTGGATGCAAATGCTAAGGTTTGGTTTGGTTTGGTCCTTGTACATAGGGATATAAATGGGCCTTGGGCCATGTTGATGTTGTGTTAACATTAAACATGTTTATGTAGGAGCAAGAGACGGGGTCAAGGTCAAGGCTGCTTCGCAGAAAGGGTAGAGCAAAGAAACTAAAATATTCATGGAAGTCTGCTGGGCATCCCTCCTCAATCTGGAGACGAATTGCTGATGGGAAGAATCAGTCTTGCAAGCAATATATTCCATGTGGATGCAAATCTATGTGTGGAAAGGAATGCCCCTGTTTAGATAATGCTACTTGCTGTGAGAAATATTGTGGGTATGTAGCTGTTGTATATTCATTTTGGAAATAATAATAAATAATAAATAATAAATAATAAATGAGATGATGTTTTAGGTGCTCGAAAAGCTGCAAGAACAGGTTCAGGGGATGTCACTGTGCAAAGAGTCAATGCAGAAGCCGGCAATGCCCATGTTTTGCTGCTGGCCGTGAATGCGACCCGGATGTTTGCCGAAATTGCTGGGTCAGGTACAAAATCAAATTGCCCCTTTAATTTTTCTTTCACATAATACATACTCAACTTTCTTTCTGCATCTTGCAGTTGTGGTGATGGTTCTGTAGGAGAGCCCCAAAGGAGAGGAGAAGGCCACTGTGGTAATATGAGGCTCCTTCTCAGGCAGCAGCAAAGGGTTAGCAATTTTATTATTATATATATATATATATATATATATATATATATATATATAATATATATATATATAAAGACTCTGTTAATTGTATATCTATGGCAGACAATTTGTTATAGTTGTGTGCTTATTGTTATCTGCAGATTCTGTTGGCTAAATCGGATGTTGCTGGCTGGGGAGCATTTCTGAAGGTAGGAGTTAAGTTTAGTTGATATTTGTTGATTTTAAAGTTAAATGGTGTTCTGTTTTTCTCCGTCCCTAGAATTCTGTGAACAGAAATGAGTATCTTGGAGAGTACACTGGTGAATTGATCTCACACCGTGAAGCAGATAAGCGAGGCAAAATATACGACCGTGCAAACTCGTCTTTCCTTTTTGATTTGAATGATCAGGCAAGCAACCAGTTTGATATGCTATTTTGTTTTGAGATTCACAGTTTTGTGGACATTAACCATCCAATCCAATCCAAATTCCATGAGATTGGTTTTGGCAACAAGTTGTCATAGTTGGTTGGTTGTTTGCATGATGCAGTATGTGCTTGATGCTTACCGCAAGGGAGACAAATTGAAATTTGCCAACCACTCGTCAAATCCCAACTGTTATGCAAAGGTACCCTATGTATTAATTTTCCGTAAACCTAAACCTAAATCTAAAACCGAATTTGTTTTTGTCTAAACTCTAAAGTCTAAAGAGAGGTTGGTTGGTTGGTTGGTTGGTGTGTACATGCATGCATAGCAGGTGATGATGGTGGCAGGGGATCATCGGGTTGGCATATTTGCTCGAGAGCGTATAGAGGCTGGTGAAGAACTGTTCTATGATTACCGTTATGGGCCTGATCAAGCACCTGCATGGGCTCGCAAGCCCAATGCTTCTAAACCAGATGACATTTTAGTCCCTCAAGCTCGAGCTAAGAAGCACTGATCTCTTTCCATCTTGCTTGCTTGCTTGCTTGGAGAGGTAAAAAGTAGCTTATGTAGCTATTCCAGGTTGGTGCTGGCATAGCAGTACGTTTGTGCCCCTTATTATACATATGTATATATATGTAATGTATGTATGTGCCTTAAGGAAGGTGATATGTATACACGGTAGATAGGCAGCATATAATAATAAGTATAATAATAATAATAATAATAATAATAATAATAATACTAATAATAATAATAAGGTGGAAATGGGGGTGAGGCAGGCAGAGCATTTGTGGTGGCATGGGTGTCTCATTTGTATATATTACTGTTAGGATAAATAAGAGATATGGCAGTGATGTATGTATAATTGTTGTGATTGAATCTTGTAATGAATGAATGAATGAGGGTGTATTGGGTAGAGTTGTTGATTTTGAGTGGGGTGGGGTTTGATAATGTTATTTCCTCCCAAAGTCTCTGTTTTCCATTCTGTTGTGCTAGAGTTTTGTGTAATAGTGGTGAAATTGGTCTCCATCTTATCTATTAATAGCCCGAATAATAATAAATAATATTACAAACAAGGAAGGTAGGAATTAACATGGACGTGTTTTGTTTTCCGTTGCATATATAGATATAGTTGGCAGTAGAGTCGTGGTTTATCATACAAATACAACATTACATAAATGAGTAGTGTAAAAAGAAAAGGAAAAGAGGGTGTGGTGTTAAGATTAAGAAGAAGAGAAAGTGGCTTGGAGAAGGACGTGTTTCTTGTTTGGGTAACCCATGCCAAGTGCGTGATTGATATACACCTTCCCATCCTTGACAAGGGCAGCAGTTGCAATCCGATGCTTAAGCACAGGTGACCTTCCAATCACGGAAGCTGTTGCCCAATCATCCTTGCTCTCCACCAACTTCACACCGTTGGCTCCTGCCACAACAAGTTTAGTTCCCCCGGCTAAAAGTTCCATCCCATCCGCAATGCTCAAGCTACCATCAACCTTCACCACTGTAACTTTATTGTTGTTTTTTATTTCAACCCTGAACAGATTTCCGGTCATGGTGTGTGACACCAATAAGTAGCCATTTGGGTGGTACGCTATCCCGTTCAGGGTCACTATGTCTTTGTACCACTCTTTAGCATGAAATAGTGGGCTCCTTATCACCGACAGTAATTCCCCGTCTACCCCAACTTTCCATATTTGTGTACCTTTCGCATCTGTTACATATGCATTCCCTTCTGCATCAACGGCTACATCATCTGCAAAGCTTTTTCCATCTGCTGCTCACATACAAACAAACAAACAGTTAACATCGCCCCAATTTACAAATAAAAATGATTATTAAAATCAATACGTAATACAGGACAGGCTGCATTCTGCAATTGAATTGATGGGAGTTGGTACAACAAACAAGTCAAAAGCAGCCAAGGCAGTCGTAGTCGTATATGTGCCACAACACAACTCAAGTCTTGGAAATAACGAACCTCGGCTCAGTTTTTTTTGTATAAATTAGGTGGGTGGTTGGTGAGCCTACCGAGGAAGGAAACGTCAATTAAATACAATATTACAAACTCCATGTTCGGTGTTCCTTCCTAATTGCTATTTTCAATTAATTATTTAAGCATCCACTTTAACCTAGGTACTTTTCAACAGATGCTCCTAGACAGGCTGGCAGGCTAACATTATTTATTTGTAACAACGTTCTATATAGTCTATACTATACGGAATAGATGAAATGGCTAACAAGCAAATAAGCAATAGGCAATATGCTATTTTTAGAAGCACTGATTGCCTTCGAATTGAAAATTTGCCTATTAAACTTACCATGTTAAGTCTTACTATCCTACTTTGGAATTCACCAAATTTTTTCTTTTCATAATATCTAATCTCAACTCTAAACCAACCCAACAACAAAAAGTTTTAATAAAAGATAAATTTGGATGAATATTTCAAAAATAATATCGGTAACATATTTGGGGAAATATTCATAAAATGAAAATTCCTGTTTCTTAGGTTGTGGACTTGTTTTTATGCTGTTTCTGGCATATACAATAGCTACATCATGCATTCAATAACAACCTTCGATTCTCGGAAATGGCATTATCCATATTACCTTTTTTTTTTTTTTTTTTTTTTTTTTAAATCTAATAATTGTAACTTTCAATGGATGAATTTAAAACAGTTTCAGAGTTTTAAGGACAGAAGTATTAAGTAAGTACCTGAGGAACTGAGCTGTGTGAAAAACAAGCGTTTCCATGAATCCATATCATAGGCCGCAACCGCACTGTAAGTGTTTCCAAAAACATCGGCGATGGCCACCACCACCCGGTTCCTCGGCCGGTCAATGAAAAGGCCACATGTCCCGTTCCCAACGGCGTCGGTATTTTTCACCACAGGGATCTCTTCAAGGACGACGTTGTCGTTGGGGTTATGATCATCAGGAACATGGACCACGCCAAGACCACCGCCGTCCGTGAAGGAAACGATGAAACGACGTTTGACTTCGTCCCATTTGCTGGATTCTCTGAACCAACCGGTGCTGTGGAACTGGTAGTAGTGGCTGCTCGGAGTAGCTGATTCCAGGGATATGATGATGGCTACAGGGATCGCCGATAGGACCAGAAGAAGCAACAAAAACCTGGTGGAGCAAAAAAAGGACGCCATTGGAATTGGAATTGGAATCGGAATGAAGAAGCCGGAAGCTAAAATACCCGAATCTTTATATACTAATAGCCAGGATACACAAACAAAGTGTGCACGAGTAGAGTAGGTCTTCACTCTTCACCAGAACACCGTAAAAAATGCTAATTAAATTACAAATATTGTCCCTAAATTACTCTCAAAATGCATATTACTTTTTAACGTAATAGCCTGCCTTTTCATATATTTAACCATCTTTATATCCCACATTCAAACCCATTTTTTTCAATATTTCTGTCCTTAAAAAAATAATTATTAATATCACTTGTCATTTTTTTTTTATAATTTTTAATTTCTTTTCGTATTTTCGTATATTCTTTAAAAATGATATAATAGATATATATATATATATAATATATATATATATAATATATATATATATATTTCTATGATTTTACATTAAATTTAAATTCTTTTAAATTCCTTGAAATTAACATTATTAATAAAGATTTTGAAATTCAAAATGTTTTGTAATCAATTACTTGGAAAGAAATAATCTTTTATTCCACTTATTTTGTTCTATTCTTTTACATCAAACATCCTTTATAAATTTGTTTAAAATGTTTTTATTACAATTATTATATCTATTATTTTAATTTATAAACCGTATATTACACAACTTATAACTAGTATATATATATATATATATATATATATATATATATATATATATATATATATATATATATATATATATATATATTCAAGAAAACAAAAAACACAATGCTTTTTGTATTTTTCATGGTATTTTAACCACTAATTTTGTAAGACGCATTAGGCTATTAAATTAACTGATAATTTACGGATGATTCGGTTTGAGTGAATAATCGAGATTTTATGGGGGAGAATACGAAAAACAAAGATATTTTACCTAAAGAAGCATTGTTTATTTTGGAATAAAGGTCTTCAACACTTGGTCAAATTTGGATGGCGGAGGTGTAACATTTGATTCAAGAGATATTGTTTTTTTTTTTTTCTTTCTTCTTTTTTTTTTTTTCAAAAGAGCAAAAGCTTGTCACGTCCAATATATAAAGGACACATTTTTATACGAACTTTATGGCATCGTTAGCTCAATAACGATCTTGATGCTATGATTATTAAGAAAAAGTAAAGCATCCATGTTTATTTATAAATATGTAAATGAAAATATATAATCTAAAACTGTTTGTATCTATGGCCAATCTACATAGATGATGTCACATCATTATTATATATTTTCTTGGAACGGAAAACGATTAAACGGTAGCCCCTCCACCTGTTACAATAGAAACCCAAGTTCGAATTTTTTTACAGGGGAAACTCGAAACCCAAGAATTTCCAGTGAAAATTCTATTACATGTAGCACTTAAAGAGGTGATTAAAAGGAATCATTCTCAATTGTAAATATGATATAAGAATTAAACATTCAAGGGAAAATAAGTAAGTAACATCCCAAAATTATGAGGTAGAAATTCCATTTTTAATTCAACCAAAACATTAATTTTCTTTCAGTCAACATTCAATATTCTTTTTCTAAATATTCAAAAGTACGTTATAGGAAAATAGTTATCGGAGTACAATCCCAAAATCATCATAATGCGGAAACATGGGTAGATGTGTTGCGATCAAGCCGATCCCTTCCCTTTCGAACCGGAAGTACCTAAAACCATAACCATAAAAACCGTAAGCACAAAGTTTAGTAAGTTCCCCAAAATATCACATACCATACATACCATTGGGCCTAGCCCTCACATTGAGCCCATCCCTCACATTGAGCCCAACCCACCATAATGGGCCTAGCCCTGCCAATCTGATGGGCCTATCCCAATCATACAAATGCAAAAGTCACAAAGACAGTTAGCACTTACATACATACATTGGGCCTAGCCCCTCCTAATATCCACGAAAAGGTAACGAGAAGCTCTACGGTTCTATCAACTCATACTTTCCTTAAAACTTCCCGACCTAAAATCCAATTTCCATAAAAGCCCTTACACTTTACCGATATACCCCTTGGCTCCGAAACACCAATTGAACTCCTAGATCATCTAAGTTACATTACCCACACCCAAATGGGTCTAAATATCTTTTCCTCAAAGGCCCTAAGCCAGATGATACTCGATCTTCGGTCACCACTCCGCATTAGGAAACGATTCGGAGCAGGGCGTTACAAAGTAATTGTAGATAATTAGATAACAAATCAAATGCATCCTCAATAGATCGTTCGTCATCCATATTTCTATAATCTTCAACAATCATCTAGATTTCTTCAACTAAACCCTCGATCAACGTCATCCAAAGTTAAATAATCACTGATCTTCATCAATCACACGTTCATCATCATTTAACAGCGAACAACATTTTATTTTTGGTTATTTCAATCGAACCTTCAATTCTGCTTTAATATGAGCATATCTTCAACATCTTCGATTAAATATAATCTCAAAGTCATTAGATCATCATCATCGATAATCAACAACAAATCCACTTCATATTAGTCGTTCAACATCGATCATCAAACAAAACTTTGAAATTAAGGTTAGAAAAGCATCAAATCGATTTTCTTTTCTTTTCTTTTCCTTTTTGTAAAATTTCATATAATTTTATATTAATCTACTTTTTTGTAAGTTTTGAGTAACGTCCCAAAAATAAGACCCAAAAATTTTATTTTTCATTTAATAAAAAAACAATATCCCAAAACATCATCATAAATCCCACGTGGAACAAATGTATCAAAACATCATAAAATATCAGAGTTATCATGAAAATACGGAACAATATCGTGTATGCACTACAATCACCCCGAACTCTTCCTCTTTGCACCAGAAGTATCT